TGGTTTGATATAGAGTTGTGTGAATTGAAAATGAGGGTAAGAAAAAAAGTAGTGCATGCATGCGTATGTTGAAAAGAATGAAACAGAGGTGACGACAGGCTGCGCCTGTCTCAGTGCTGCATGTCCAGATACATTTTCCCTCGTTCATATATGCATTAGTTTAGGGCTAAATCCTGCACAAACCAAATTTTTAATTTCTACATAGAAGTTAAAACAGTCCTATTTGAGACTGTAGTTGATAATAAAAACCATGCAAATTAACACCAATATTCTAATATTGAAAGATGTGAATGAATACAAAGTAGTCATGTATTAGCTTTTCCTTCAATTTAAGAAACAAATCTCATGTTAGAACGTATTTCCGTTACCATATTAATTTGTCACAAATTATTAACTTTCTAGATATATATAGATATATTTATGTACTAAGAGTTTAAAAGTGACTTGAATTTCATGTTTAATAGAATTGAGAAAGTTATAATATATATATATATATATATATATATATATATATATATATATATATATATATATATATATATATATATATAAAATTCATAAATATAATAATTTTGGTATAAGTGTTGATAATTTGTCTAATCTATCTAGAAATCAGAATGTTATTATAATATCATTAAAATTTAATATTACATTTAAGTTATTATTCTTTTTAGAACTCCATTATGTTACTTTTTCTTATTAAAATGTATTTTTAGACATAGTATTAAATGATATATTAAACATACTCTATCTCTATACCCTAAAATAAATATCAATATTCTATTTAGTAACAAAATTATCTCAACATCGTATTCTTTATAATAATTTGGTTAGATCTATTACCTTAATATCGTAATTCTATTACTCAGATTATTGTTATTCCCGAAAATACTATAAATTCCTTTAAAGTAGAGAAATAATCCATAAATTCAAACTTTTGAATGCTAACTTGACTTTCAATTTAGCAGAGTCAAAAGAAATGGGAAATTCAAAATAACTAATGGTGAGATTTTGATTTGGAAAAGGTGTGGTCAACATGGGTTGCTAATAATATTGGTTATAATGCTTTTTCTGTTTTAGGCAGCATTGTTAAAACTTCATTCTGATTTGGGAAAGGTGTGGTCAACATGGGTTTGCTAATTATTTAATTTATAATGTTTTTCTATATTACGTAACTATTTTTCTAATTCTTTCTGTTTTGCTTTATCATGGGTTACTTATTTAAACACGCAATTTCAACTTAGGTATCAAATTTCGTAGAGAAATTGTTTATAACTTTAGTGTGGATATATTCTTATACAATAAACTTCAAATTTAACCCTATGTTCCGTTAAGAAAGCAAATAAAAAAAGTGTGTGAAAAATAATAGGAAATAAAAGAATATAACAGAGATGAATTATAGTAAAAAAAATATATATTTATTTATAAACGATGAAAATAAAATATTATTTTTAAAAATGATTAAAATTAAATAATTATATAATTACAAGTTTGTTTATATATTTATTTTAAAAACATGTAACACAATGATGATTTTTCAAAATATCAGTTTTTTTCATATATTTCACTCACTTAGGATATGTGAAAAATAACATTTTTTCTGATCAATCATTTTATCACTGAACAAAAATTATATATATATATATATTGTTAATTTCTTATCACTTAACACTTTTTATTTTATATTTTTTCTTCAAATAAATATATTTAAAGTGAGTTTGTTATTTATATTTATCTCTCAAAATTCTATATTAAAATAATGTAATAAATAAAGAATTAATTTCATAAATAATATATTTAAAAAAATTATGTAAATAAATTTTTTAACAATTTAGTTATAAACTAGACAGGTTTATTGTTGATAAAAAAAATTGTTATGAAGAATAAAATTATCTATCACAGAGTAATTCTTATAATTTTTCTTTCTCTCTTCGTTTCATTTTTTAGGACTAACAAAATTGGCAATTCAACGATCTGATCTTACCTCAGGAACTAAATAAAAGAAAAATTGATGATGTAGTTGACCTATATTTTAAAATAAAACATAATTTTTAACATTGTGTTAGATAAATCGGATACTAAATTAATTTTGACCTGATTAAAAACTAAAAAAATATTTACACCAAAATAATTTATTAAAAAAATTAAAATAAAAAATATATTTTTAAAATTTAAATTCTAGTAATAAAATTAATTTTTTTAAATATAATAATTTCATATATAAATGACAATCCAATAAATAATTATTAAAACTTATTATAATATTTATTCTTATAATAATTTTTTTTATCAAATTAATTTATAATAAAAATATAATTTATTTTTATTTAAAAAATATTATTATTATATAAAATAGATTGGTCTACAAATTTACTTATTAGTCTGGTCTAAGTCTATATATGTCATGATCTAAAAAATCTGATTCAATTTACAATATTTTTTTTATAACCTACTTTTTTTAAATCTTTCATACTAATTTAATGATTAAAAACAACCTAATCATTTTTTATTTTTATTTTTCCTCTTCTCATTCAATAATTGTTTTTTTCTTTTTCTTTCTCATGGAATCTTATTCTTTTCTCTCCTTTTAACCTTTCACTTGTTCTTCTAATAATTAAAAATATATAAAAACATGTTAAAATACTTTTTAAATCAACACTAAAAGTAATAATATATTTATTTTAAGTATTTTTTAATAAATAATTTTTAAATTACTTAATCTGACTAGTCACATAACTTAATTATAACCGAAATAAAAAATAATTTTAAAAATTATTTAATAATTTTTAATTAGATAAATAATTGATTTATTATGATAAAATATTTTTAAATTAATTATTTATTATTATAATAAATAAGTTTTTTATCATAATGTTAAATAATTATAATTTAATGTTGATTTTAAAAATATTATTTTTATATATTTTAGTATTTTAATTAAAAAAATAAGTAGGAGAAAATAAATAAAATAAAAGATAATAACAAAGAAAAAAACAAAAGTAAAAGAGTTAAAAAGGAAGAATAAAAATAATGAAAAGAGAAAAAATAAATAAAGCGTGAAAAAAAAATGATGGTTTATACCAGTCAACAGGTAGGGTAAATTGACATATTTGAATAGTTTTGTTTAATATATTATTTATTAATTTGGATAAACGGAGTAGTATATTTTTTTGTCTAATAATTAAAATATGAGAACACCTATGGCGGCGCGCACATGGTGCCCTAATTTCTTAGATGTATACACTATTTATTGGTCAACATTTATTGTTTTCTATATCAACTTTCCTACTCTTATTATTATTCAATAAAATAAGTTTTAAAATCTTATAAATATCTCTACATAAAAAAATATAAAATAAATATATTTAATACCGTAAAGTATAATAATATTTAGCATTTATCAGATAAAAATATAACTTATCTGGTTGGAATTTCAATTAGTATATAGTATTGACGTTTATCACATTCATTTTTTAATAAAAAGAATATTTTTCTCAATTTTTATTTCTTATCAAATATAATTATTTGTCTAAGCTTTATTTTCTATTTAGGTTATGTCGCTGTTGCATTAGGTATGATGACATATATTTTTGGCATATATATGCGTCTTTTCCTAATGCGTTAATAAATATTTCTCTAATTTTTGTCTTTATATGTTTAATTGCCAAATTGAAGGTTCATTTTGTTCGTAATATATAATTTATAAAAGTTTAATAAATATTTTATACAAAAAAAATTGATAAATATTTTAGATTCCTGCCTTTAATATTTGGGTTTTCTTTTTCTTTTTCCTGCATTGGTTCTCAATACATTAATTTCTTCCATATTAAAATTTTTGGTTGTCAATAAAAATAAAAATCATTTTGGACTTTTATAATTTTTCCCTAACATTTATTAATATCTTTTAAATGATGAGATATTATATTAGCTAACTAATTATGTTAGCGGTTGAGTACACTTATATGTTTCAATTAATGTTTCAATTCATTAAGTTTTACATTAAACGAAAATATTTCTTGATTTAACCTTTTACTATATATTAATATAATAATAATCTATAGAATAAATATGCATAATTAATTAATTATAAATAATTTTTTTAATTAAAATATTAAATAATATTAAAACGATATAATTTATCACATAAAAAATTTAATAAAAAATTTATAAATAGAACTACTTAATTATAGTAAGTCATTTAGATACTGTTTTTTTAAATTCTATTTTTTTATTGACTTATTTTCTATTTCCATTTTTTTTAACATGACATTAATATTTGCATGTAAATTTTTTTTACTTAACATTGTCGTCCAAACTGAACTATACGAACTCTTTTATTATTATAATTATCTTGTCATAATACATCCTTTTCGATTTTTCCTATGAAACATAAAGAGAATGAAAATAAAACTAAACACATATATTTTTTAAATTATTTTACAGAAAACTAAAATAAGAATTTTTTTTTTTGTGCATTATCTATATAGTTGAGGATCACAAATGTCAATGTTCTTGGTATTCAAGATTTATTGAACTAAGACCATGACTCCTCCAAACACTGATTCTACTAAGGACTCGGTATCTAAATAAACTTGACCATAACAAAATATAAAAATTTATTGAAACAAAAAAAGTATTTTATTATTACTTAGTCGCGTGTTACATAATGGACAACTAAAATGTTCCGGATTAAAACCAAAATTATTTTTTTATTGAACGGATAATCATATTTACCTTTAATTTTTGAGCACACATAATTTCAACCGCAAAAAACAGTTACTACTAAAATAATGTAACACAGAAAAAGAAATAAAAAAAAAAAATTGACAGAGAATATATAATTTCACCACATACGTACGCGCTCTTAATAATTTATTAGTTGGACCTCAACATTAAATTACCCAAATTAATATTTGAATAATAATGTATGAGCTGGGATGAGGGGAATAAATTAAAGGCAAGATTGGAAGATGACTAAGCACAGAAAATAATTGGCTACTATGACTTCCCCTTTCATCCAGAACCGAGATTGGGACCTGTCGCAGGAGCCCTCAGAAATTTTGTTCAATTCATTGCCGAGCAATGCTGTTCTTGACCCTATTCACGATTATCTTTCCTTCGATATGGTTGATTTCTCCACGCCATCACCACAAGGAAACCACAACCAGTTGGTGCTGAAGTCTGAACAAGTGCCTGAAGATGTGCAGAATAAGGAGAGGTCGTACATAGGTGTGAGGAAAAGGCCTTGGGGAAAATATGCAGCAGAAATCAGAGACACAACCAGGAATGGCACAAGGGTTTGGCTTGGAACCTTTGACAGTGCAGAAGCTGCTGCGTTAGCTTATGACCAAGCTGCATTCTCCATGCGAGGCCATAATGCTGTAACCAATTTTCCGGTCCAAAGGGTCAAAGAATCTTTGCAAGAAATCCAATATAGCTGCTTCAATGGTTCTTCTCCTGCACTTGCACTCAAGGAGAGGCACTGCATCCAAAGAAAGTTGTCATCAAAAGCTAAAAAGTGTAAAGGGAAAGACACATCAGATGATCCAACACAAAGTGTGGTGGTGTTAGAGGATTTGGGAGTTGACTATTTAGAGTATCTTCTAAGCATATCCGATCAAACTGCAAGCCCTAGCTGCTTCCACTAAACCTGTCTCACTTGTTGCCTTGTCTTTTTCCTTTTCACAACATCAATTGCCAGCCAGGGCCTGTGTATGTATTGTATCCTCAAACCTGAGTTAATAATATGCTCTCTCCAGAACCAGTTTATGTGGTTACTTGTGCATCTAGGTTTCGAGTTGAAGTGCTATCAACCTATTCTTGCACCAACCATCATAGTCCATCATCCTGCACAGGTTCATTTTCTTCACATTACAGCTTCACAATCTGAACACTATCTTCCAATAAAAATTCTCAAGGCATGCTTAAATTGATACAAGTTTATTTATGATAGATATCCTAACAAGTTGAGTGTTGGTACTATATTATTAACAATTTTTGCCTTCCCACTCTTCTGTAGTATGCTTATATAGCTCTTTCAACTATTGAAAATTGATTCAGAAAACAGTTGAACTAACATGTTAGATTTATCTAGGTGCCATATATGTAGCAACCCTCAAAGCTTACTACATCACTCGCTACCTGCTTATTGTACATCAACACTTGTCTTGGATTGTTTTTATAGGCAAAAGATTTATTCAGTAGCAGACAAGAATACTCTAATCTATATTCAACAGTCATGCAAACAGAAAAATTAAATGTGTTCCCTAATACAATCTGTAGGACTGACACACAAATCTGATAACATAGATGGATTTTCCTTTTGTCATTAACCATGTCCAAGATATAAGTTTTACAAGATCCATAATCCCAACAAAATACCTCTTTTGAGCAAAATTTCATTTCGCTCCAAACTTATCTTGACATATATTCATATACGTACTGTGTTTAACATATTACATAAATTTCTTTATAAATATATAACATACATATTATCTGCTATAAAATCATAAAACATCATCCATATGATAAGATTTAAATCAAGATAATAGAGAAATTTTATTCTATAAGTTAATATGTAATGCATCTATATATATATATATATGAACATCCTTCCATGTATATCTATCATCATGTCAAAAATTTATTAATAAAAGAAAAATAATAGAATTTTACCATTACTCATGATAAAACATCAAATTAACAAACATATACTGTAAAAAACCATGTTTATTATTATAAAAATAATGAATTATACAATTTGGTTAACATAAATCAAAGAAAATTATACTATTGAACAACAGTTCAGCTAAATAATCTACACATTTATTTCCATTTTTATAAACATAGACATGATAAATATTATATAGGAAATATAATGAAAATATCTCAACTTTCTACTAAATAATCAAGATTGTAAAGTAAATCACCAACTATTAGGAGCCTTAATTACTTTGTTTTATTTCTCTCATCTGGCTTGGCCCCTTTCAATACATCTCATCTATGGTCAACCGAAGCAAGTGAGGATTTTAAAACCATAGCAATCAGAAAAGCTTTTCAGTACGTGGGCAAGATCAAAAGTATAATTAAAAAGCAACAAATACAAAGAAATGTGCTTAAATTCATTGAATACACCAAATGTAACATATATATAGGAAGCTTGAAGTCCTAATCTACTTGAAGAAATCACAATAATACACATGGACATTTATCATTTCCAATGAAAACTTCAACTACACATACCAGAAATACCCAGTAAAGCATGAAATTATACAACACCCGCCAACAATATTCCTTTCATTGCACTGCAATAACATAATAACAGAAATCGAAATTTCACACAGAAACATGTGAAGTGGCTTTCATAATCAACAAAGTACAGCCTTAGTGTCTATCTATAATGAACAAAATATCTTGTTTCATTACCTTTTGTACAAATCTTTATACGAACCTTTCTATGATTATTTGTGAGAATAGAAGATTGAGACAAACTGCTTTCTCAGATCAAACAGGTTGTAAAGTAAATTGTCTGAAACTAAAACTGCGTGACTTCTTCTAGCAAAGACACCACATTCAACTGATAATTAAACGATAATTGAATTAAAGGCATCAATGGAATGGGAACCAATTAAAAGTGTTCATCTAAATTCACCATAAGCAGCACCATTTTTAGCTCAATACATGAATCCAGTAAAACAAATAGATCACATTTTTTCATTGTACTTGTCAACAGCAGTAACGATATGGAAGATGTTCAAGATGCAGTATATTCATCTTATGCTGAATTTGGCTGCAATAAATTTCTTGTTTTCTAAAAAAATTATTGTGCATGCTTATCCTGGTCTCATGATACTAGGGAAAATAAGAATGAGGTGATAGGGTTGAGCATTCTTATACAATATTATCATATCTATCATTCACTCCACTTAAATATCGCCAGAAGCATTAAAAGTTATTGATCTCAGACGTAATTACACTAGCTTCCTGGATTAACCATGATCATATTAAGATTTTACTCAGAAATCAAAATGGTAGATATTTGAAGGCATTTATAAGAATTAATAGATCACAGAAGAAAATTGAAGCTGATAATGTCCAGATATAAATCAAAAGCAACACAACGAATCAATTCCCAACAAATGCATTGACTCAGCTTATACGGATTCTGATAATTTAAATTAACAGAACAAATTCTCACAGATATAAAGCAAAAAACAATGCTACCTCCTCGTCATGATGATCAAATTATTTACGTTTGCAGAAATAATGCCTGACGATAGAGTTTTCAGCCATAAAATTGGAATGAAAAAAATCACACATACCTCTTATCCAACACTGTTTCCGTTGTTCACCACCATCTCTCTTGAATATTTTCCTGGCTTTTTTACCAAAGGGGTAGTTGTGAAAACATGAACCAACAACGAAGAAACAGTAGCATTAATTTGACATAGTTTTGAGGAAAAACATAAATGGCGTTGTGTTTTGTTGGTGAAGGATAGGGTTTAAAGGAGGCGGAAAGAGGAAGTAGGCTTCTTGTCCGAATCCGACAGTGAACTAAAGGCAATTAAAAAAATTATTGATTTTTTTTTTGTGTGTGAAAAATACCTTGTAAATTGTCACAGGGTTGAAGTTCTCTCTTTAATATATTTTACTTAACAATTTTCCTTACTTAAATTCTATTATGTTCAATTACAATATTATATTATTTATTTATTTAGAAGAAAAGTTACATTTATTACTATAAATGTCGATAATGCATTCATTAATTATATTTCGAATTTCATTTTGTTAGTACATAGTATATTTAATAAAATAATATATTAAAGGAAACTTAAAATATGATTAGGGAAAAAATTTATTGTAGCGTGAGTTTTGTCTTTCTTTTTATCACACTCTCACTTTCTCTGAAATTTTGTGGCCGACACGTGGGGTCTCATTGTCAAGAAATTGAGGAGTTTGGACAACGAAAGGAAATATTAAAATGGTAATACAATAACAAATTTGATGTTACCTCTTATTTATTTTTTATTTATTTTTTGGACTTGCTATATAAAAAGTGGGAAATAAAACCTCAATATATTTATTTTATTTTTAAAAAATCTGTAATAATGAAAGGTTTCATCATCGCCATCATGATTTATTTATTTTTTTACAGCACAGCTTCATCCTGATCATGAGCTATCTCATTTGTCTCTTTTCTTCTCAATTCTCCTACTAAGCATTATTATCTCCATTAATTCTTTTGTGTTAACTAAGCTAATATACAGAACATAAAATTTAATTAAAAGTCTTAAATTACCTACTTGCATTTTTCTCTTAGCAGGTTAAGAATTCCTATATTATCTTCTTCATATACAACTATTCAAACATATAATTTAAAACCAATAATAAACTAGAGAACAAATTTCATCATTTCCATGCCGCTTTGCAATGCATAAAACAGTCAACAATTATATATTGCAGAGATATTACCAACCTTCTTGTGTCCGAACTAGTTGGTTAAACAATTTTCCCTTTCATAGAGTCCACTCTGCATCAGAAGAGAAAATCAGAAAGTTTTCAGAAGCAGCTCAAAGTTTTCAATCTGTTCATCTCTTCTAACTGGTTTGGACTATATATATATATATAGAGAGAGAGAGAGAGAGAGAGAGAAAAAAAAAAACTCATCCACAAATCAAAGATAGCACTAAATGTTTAAAAGGGCATAGTTTTAAAAGACAAAGGTAGAGTTACAAACCAATGAAACTGATTGAATACCTACCTAATTTATAATGTTTCACTATTTACAGATGCAATATTCTATATATCAGAATATCAGTAATTATGGAAGGCCATGACATTTTGAACATATATCTTTTTTTTTTTTAAAGATAAGAAAAGAAAACAATATGAATCAATTGAAGCCAAAATATAATCACTTCATATGGAAATTGAAAGACCTACGAATGTATTAGCTACTTGACTTTGAAGGCTCACCTTCACAAATTATAGCATATTTAATATTCCCAATATCAAAATATAAGCTTTTTGGACAAAGTGTATAAGTTGAAAAATAATTGAAATTTAATTGGTCTACTAGACCTTTTGGACAATCAGTACCTTCCAAGCATTTTTTTTTTCTCAAATGATTTTTCATTGAAAAAGCCGGGGACTCATAATATCCATCCACACTTTGCTATTGGATTCACTCAACAATTTAAAGGCAAATACTTTCTGTATTTCAAAAGTTTCTTCTTGTAGAGTAATTCGAAATGTAATTTATATCTAGAATTGGCGGCTTCAACATTAGCTAATTCAAAAGTATAAAAGAAAAACATTCCAAGAAAGTGGTGGAAGCATTTGAAGAAGGGTGTTGAAGAGTATAATAAAAGTCTACATAAGAAAAAATACTAGAAACTAAAGTGTACTAGTTGGAGTACATAAATCTAACTAGTTTAGAATTTTTGGACAATATGACATCTTCCAAGCTTAAACACTAACTACCTCAATCCGCACTCTCTTGTTGGATTCAACTTAAACAATTAACAAATTGGGGTGTTTAAGGTGCTAACATATATTGGCTAATTGTGTGTGTTTTCCCATTGCATGAAAGAAATTCCTTTAAGAGTTAAGTGAAAATGAAGATAATAACGAAGGTGGAAAACTTTTG